TATCCTGCAGAATATGCTTTTCCGTACCTTATGATGCAACGTACAGACACTTCAATATGTATTCTGGGCTAGGGAAAGTTCTGGTCAAGGGAAAGTTGCCAAACAGTGCTGAATTACAGGACCCCAAGAATCTACACGCCCTATAGGAGAATCTGCTTGGATATTTGGAAATGCTAAATTAATATTACACTCTACAATGTTTCTAAGGCTAGGGAAAATACGTTTTTATTCAGTACCTATTCAGCAAATATTCTCTGAACTCCTGCTATGGGACAAACACTATCACATGCGTTGAGGTACATAGTACCTTATCTCATGGTTCATATTCCTACAAGGAAATGTTGCGTAAACAATTGTCTATAATGCAAAGTGATGAGTGTTCTAAATCAGAGGCTTCTAAGCCCAGGCCATGGTCTGGTTCCGGCCTGTTAGGAACCAGGTCACACAGCAGGAGATGCTCACCCATCGCCAGATGGGTGAGCAGATCAGCGGCAGCATTAGCTTTCCATAGGCGCACAAACCTTATTGTGAACTGCCCATGTAAGGGATCTAGGTTGCATGCTCCTTATGAGAATCTAATGCCTGATGATCAGAGGTGGAGCTGAGGCAGTGATGTTAGCACTGGGGAGTGACTGCAAATACAGATTAACATCAGCAGGGAGGTTTGACAGCACAGAGACCACAATAAATCAATTGCTTGCACTTCCGTCCATGCCTCTTTTTTATGGTGAGTTGTATTACTTCATTATATATTACAGTGCAATCATAATAGAAATACAGTGCACCATCAATGTTAAGCACTTGTATCATTCTGAAACCATTCCTCCCCCGTGTCTGGTCCATGGAAAGACTGTCCTCCATTAAACCAGTCCCTGATGCCAAAAAGGTTGGGACCACTGCTCTAAATAAGTCTTTTCCACCCTTCTTACTCAGGATGAGTTTATGTCCAGGGTTTTAGTGAGGAATTTTTTTTTTTTTTTTTTTTGAGTTGGAGTCTCACTCTGTCTCCCAGACTGGAGTGCAGTGGCCACTCCCGGCCACTGCAGCCTCGACCTGCTGGGCTCCGGCGATCCTTCCGCCTCAGCCTTCCAAGTAGCTGGAACACAGGCGCACGCTACCACGCTCGGCTAATTTTTTGATTTATTGTAGAGATGAGGTCTCGCCAAGTTGCCCAGGTGGGTCTCGAACCCGCGGGCTCAGGCAATCCACTCACCTCAGCCTCCCAAAGCGCGGGATTACAGGCTGAGCCACCGAGCCCAACTTTAGTGAGCAATTTATGCTAAGATGGTGTTGTGCTTTCTATATATTATCCCCTTTCTTCTTTACAAGAAAACTGATGCTGTGGGCATTCTCATCCTCTCTTGACAGTGAGGGAACTGAAGCTTAGAGGGGTGACACAGGCTTCTTAGTGTGGCAAGTGGCAAGGCTGGAATGTAAAGTAACCTCTTTTTTTTGAGTCAGGATCTTACTCTGTTGCCCAGGTCAGAGTGCAGTGGCAGGATCACAAAACACCACAGCCTCTATATACTGTGCTCAGGTGATCCTTCCACCCAGCCTCCCAAGTGGCTGGAACTATTTGGGACTTTTTATAGAGACAAGACCTCGCATTGTTGCCTAGGCTAGTCTCAAATTCCTAAACTTAAGCCTTTCACCTTGGCCTCCCAAAATGCTGGGATTACAGGTGTGAGCCACCGTACCCGGCCCCTAAACTAGTCTTTTTTCTTCCCCAACAGGGAATGTTCCCTCAACTCTGTGCGGGTAATGTTCCATTTAGGCAAGGCTATGTCCCAGTTGGACACTAGAGGGCAATAAGATAGCAAAACGATGGGAGGAATTTGTCTAGGCTACCACTCTAAACAGCCATTAACAGGAAACTTCCCAAATCCATCTTTGTGTCCATCTACCACATTCTCTGGTGATGGATCCAGGCAAGGATCATTAGGGATTCATCTTCCTTCCAAAGCACTTCAGCCTGCTACTTTTGCCCGTTGTAGTGGCTGAGGAATGTTTGTGGGATTTAATGGAATGTCTTGGGACAATTCCATCAACATACATCTCACTTGCTTCTGCTTAGCCCTCAGCTGATTCCAAATCGGGGTGTTGTGTTAACAGCTGCTCAACGTGAAGCTGGTACATGCTTGGCACATACTTAGTTCACCCTTGGGCTGTAACACACTCCAAATACACCTCCCATGTCCCTGAACAAATCACAAAGGACGGATCCAATCAACACAACTGTCACCCTGAGGGACACTTCCTGAGGATGGAAGACAAACACTAGAACCTACAGGATTATTCTTCCATTAAGAGAATGAGCTCTCATCAGGATATACAAGGGAGGACCCAAAAGGCCTCAGAATTTATTTATTAAAAATTGTGTATTTATTCTTACAAATTTAAACTTCAGTCACCTTCAAAGTACTCTCCGTTGGATGTAATACACCCATCACGGTGCTTTTCCCACTGCTCAAAACAGTTTTTGAACTCAACCGTTTTGATGCCTAAAAAGTGCTCCTGGGCTGGACACAGTGGTTCAAGCCTATAATCCCAGCACTTTGGGAGGCTGAGGCAAGAGAATTGCCTGAGTCCAGGAGCTCGAGACCAGCCTGGGCAACTTGGTGAGACCTTGTCTCTACAAGAAATCAAAAAATTAGCTGGGTGTGATGGGGTGCGCCTGTAGTTGCAGCTATTTGGAAGGCTGAGGTGGAACGATCACCTAAGCCCAACAGGTCAAGGCTGTGGTGGCTGTGAGCATGCCACTGCACGTCAGCCTGGGCAACAGAGTAAGACTCCAACTCAAAAAAAAAAAAATTGCTCCTGTGGTTTTTTTTTTCACCTCTTCCACATCAGCAAAACGTTTTGAGGACTTTTTTCAACCAGGGGATAAAAAAAGTCACTCGTGGTGAGATCAGGTGACTGGGGAGGGTAGGGCACAGGGGTCATGCTGTTTTGGGATCCAAGCAGCTGAACACTCAGCGAGGTGTGGGCAGGTGCATTGTCATGGTGGAAAAACCAGTTACTTGTTTGTCACAACTCAGGCACAACACTTGCTGGTCCATGAATGCCAATGGGTTCCTAGAATGCTAACCTAGCCAGGGAAACCTGTACTATGAAGGGCCCACCCTCCAAAAGATAATCCCAGGTTTTTTGGGGGTCCCCCTTGTATGTCGGTGTTAGGAATAAGAAGTTGACATTCCCTGTTGCTTCCATTCTTTCCTCCTTAGATCCCTGTTGTTGGTTTCTAGGTAGCTGTTCTCTGTCATGTTTACAAGGCACAAGGAGTAGAGTGTGGGTGAAAATGACTGGAAAAAGCTCGTTCACATTTCAGGGGAAAAGGATTTAAAAATAATCAACGAACAACGTGTCTTCAAGGAGCTCTTGCTCATGTGTCTCAGTCTTGTGTGGCAGAAACCAAATAGAGCCTTTTCACCCCGGCCACACCCTGGGGTGATGCAACAGTCAACGAGACACAGGCTGGACACATGTTTCGGGATGTGAAGGCGCCTGCCAGTGTAGAAAATTACCCCACAGTCCGGCTGCCTGTGGATCAATGAGGAATGTTCAGAGAACCTTCCCCATAAGATACACAGCACGGCAGGAGATACCAGACAGTTGGCCCTTGTTCTCTCTACAGGAAGTGGCAGCAAGTAATTTTTTTTTTTTTGGATGTAGGAAAGTTATGTGACCAGAATCCTGTTTTAGTAAGATAAGTTTGGTGGCATGATGGGGCATGTGTTCAAGAGAAAGCTTGGAGACAGAGGGACCTTGGGAGGAGGGTGTGGGGAGCTCGGTACGCACTGCGGGAGGTCAGGAACATGCAAGAATCATTGCAGAGCTAGAATGAACAGTTCTGGGTTGTTGATTGAATGTGAGATACAGGGAAGGAGAAGGTATAAATATACTAGCCTCGCCTTCTTTGAGCATTTACCATGTGCACATTTTAAGTATTACTTAGTATTTTTCAGGTACTGACTCATTTTAATTCTAGCAAGTCGTACGAAGTTGGAATTATTCTTCCTCTTCTCCACCTTTTATGGGAGGGGAAACTGAGGCACAGAGAGGCCAAGTTGTTTGCCAAAGGTCACTAGGAGTTGGACCCAAGCAATCGTCAGAATCTGCCTTCTTCCCATATGCTGCACGGTCTCGCGTCCAGCCCGGGTGACATGGGACTGGTGGCATCACTGGCTGTGATAGGGAAGTCAGGAGGAGGAGCAGGTGGGCGTGTGTGCATGGAGGGGGAGGGCTGCATGACAGGTGGTGTTTTGGACATTTGCGGGTACAGATGTTCTGCCAGCATCTCCAGTGGGATGGCCAGCGGGCCCTGTGTCCCAGCATGGAGGGGAAGCTGACTTTTATTAAAAATAATGAAACATCTGTAAAAATGCCGTTGGCTGAGTTTCCCTGATGAGCAATTCAAGAGAGGCCTGATGTGCGGACAAACAGGAAGACCGTCCCCAGCTGAGGGTTTGGCCAGAGACAGATTTGAAGCAGGCTCATCAGCAGCAGGCTCAGGCCTCCGGACGCCCACAAGAGACCAGGACCCAGTCTGGAGGAAGGTCAGGTGCCTCCCCAAGGTCACAAAAGGTAAGTGAGAGAGACTGGGGTCACACGGACGACCCCCAAGTCCCACAGCCCTTGTCTATCGCAGTGGTTCCTGCTCAGGTGTCTCAGGAATCGTTGGGAAGGCTCGTTAAAACCTAAATCCCAGCTCCTTCTCTTAGAGTCTCTCACTTGGTAGGCCTGGGGTGGAGCCTGAGAATCTGCATTTCTAGCAAGTTCCCAGGTAAAGTCAATGCTGCTGGTCCCGGACCATGTCTAGGGAAGATTCATTGTGATGAGACACTTCTCGGGTGGCCAGGAGCCCCAAGGAGAGTCCCGGGCGGGGTGCCCAGGGTACACTGAGAAAACATGTCTCCACTACTACCAACGTGCATGCCACCATCCACAACCTTGTCAGATGGGCACAGACTTCTGTCAGACACAGTCTATGACCTCAGAGCCAGCACTCACGATTGGTGTTTTATTATTTATTCACTTGACAGGTTACACACATTGGGTCCTAGAAGACACCATGCTATGGGCTTAACTACTTGCCCTTGTACAAGAGAACCCCTCTGGGCCCTCAGAAAACTCTTGCACAGCCTCCCAAGGACAGCTCAGTCACGGCAGGGAAAAATCCTATCCCGAAGAAGAGGCACGTTGCCAGACTCTCCCCAGAAAACCTCTGTCCCATAGCCCTGAGAAGTCATGACTCTCACACACGTCAGGTGGTGTCAGAATAACAGCCATGCGAGGAGGAAGGGGTGTTTTGAACTAGGAGGTGGTCCTGAAACTGTGGTGTACCAGACAACTCATATATATGTTACAAATATATAAATTAAGAGATCTGCACGTATACAAAATCCTCCCGAGGGGGCAGATGCCATTCTACGTCATGGCAGGTGTTTGTCAGAACCTTGTAAGTGAAAGCGGTCTCCAGTGGAGGCGCTGTTAAAAATCGAAGGTATTTACATGCAGGCCCTGCCCCGCTCCTGTCCGCCATGGAACCCTCTGGTGTTGTCAGGGCCTCTGGGCCACCTGAGCACCCCCACGGGTAACCCGTCTGCAGTCTGCATCTTCCGGGAAAGCAAGGGACTTGTACCTGGGCTTTTCTCCTGTGTGCCCATCTCGGCCTGGCGGCGTCTGCGGACCCAGGGGCTACCAGAGGGTGTGACGCTGCTGTCGCTGGAATAATCCACGCACTTGCGGAAGCCCTCGGGGCTGGTGCTGCAGTTCAGTCTCCCTTCCTCGGCCAGGGGAGACTTTCTGGAAACACCTTTGCGCTGGGCCAGAGGGCTGCTCCAAGGGCTTGAGCACGGGGAGGCGTTAGGGCTGAGGAAGAGATTCTGGTGACCGGAGGGGCTGAGCTTGCTGGTGACTGCATGCCGGCGGCCAGCCATGGGGGACGTGGGGGTGCTCTCGGGGTCTGAGGAGCTGTTGGCGGAAGACTCGTCCCCCATGTACTGAAGCTCCTCAACCCTCTTGTTCGGGGATTTGTTCAGGTGGAGGCTCGTAGGGGGGTCCTCATCGTGGTTCTTGTCTTTGGGGGGCTTCTTTTTGGGGGGCTTCATCCCAATCAGGACAGCCTTCATGTTCTCTTTGCCCTGAGATTCTGTGACCATGAACTCGTGGGCTTTGATGGCCGCCTCCACCTCCTCAAACTCCACGATGGCACACTCCTGGGTCCCCACCTGGCTATAGCGGCTGCTGATCCGACGGATGTCGGGGGGCAGCTCCCTCCCGGGTTTCAGGATCCGCACAGAGGAGATGACCCCAAAGAACCCAAAGAGCTTGAGCAGATGCTCCATCACCTTCTCCTGCACCCTTCCATTCTTCTGGGGGGTGGCCAGGGCCCACAGCTTGGGGGACAGGTGGAGGTCGTAGACCAGGAGCATCTTGCTGGGGAGGTTCTCATTGGGGAACAGCGGGATGGGGGTGGTCCTCCTCACCTTCCGGTGGTCCTCGTTCAACTCAAGGAGCACTGAGTACTTCAAGGCATGCGCTGTGGCCCTCCAGTCCCGCGTAAGGTGTTTCACCTGAAGAAACAAAGCAAACCTGAAATGATCCCCAATGCCCTCGTTCCCCCTTGTCAACGGTCATCTCTCTCCCTCACTTCCCTATGCCTTTGACACCGGGATCTAGGATCACACTGGTAGGTGTGAACACTCTAAAACCTAGTGGATGAGTCGGCGAATGAACACACTTTCTACAACTCAGAGGAGGGCCGCGCAGCTCCGAGCAGTGCAGTTAACAAAACTCTTCATAGCAACGGGAATGTTCTATTCTGTGCAAGTTTAGAGACTGAACTTGCAGGCTTTGGAACAAGGCAGTCATAGACGCAAACCCAAGGCCCACCTCTAAATGGCAGTAAGACTTGGAAAGTCGTTCAATCTAGTAGAGCCTCGATTTTCTCTGTAAAATGGAGATGCCCATAGAGTGCCTGATGCATGCAGTTGTCACGAGGATTAAATAATAATAAATATACACATATATAGGTACAGACACTCACACACATTCATATGTAAAGCTGAGAAGAATGCCCAGCTCCTAGTGAGTATTCAATCATGATATGCTGTCATGATTTCAAATATCTATTGTTTTGATAGGATTGGGAGATTTTAGCATTCAAATGCTTCTGTAAAGCTGGATTTCTGGATTTCTGCATCTGATACGGAGAAGCTACCCAAAGATCTTTCGTATGTCACTGCAGTGTCTCCTGAAAGTGACGTAGACTGTTTCAGCTTGGAAGGACGGCCAACTGGGGCCTCATGAAGAATGATGAAATGACCCCTCCCTCCTCCTTCCTGGTGGAAACTGTGTGTATCGACGTTGCAGTATGTGAAAGTTATATTTATATGGTAAAATAGTAATTTTCTAGAGGCCCACTTCGGGGGGTGGAGATGCCAGAGGGAATGAGTCATCCCAAAGAAACGGGGGAGGTGCGCAGCCTGACGGGAGATCTCCACCAGTCCTTCAGGCCAGGCCGGAGGATGGAACTGTAGGTGCCTCTGAGCTTAACAGAGGGGCTTTATGAGACTCAGGAAGGGCAGGCTCACCAGCTGGGTGGGATGAGAAAGACTCGGCAGAGCTATTAGGACAGATGGATCCTGGAGAGAGAGCACTGACCACTCCAGCCTGTGGCCTCCGGGAGACTTAGCCCCGACTTAGGCTTATGGTGCAGGAGGCCCCAGATCCACCTACACAGAACGGATGGGCTGATCGCCCTCATGCAGTTCCTAGGACACAGGCCCAGGGCACAGACCTGCAGGCCCCGGCAAAGGGTCGGATAACAGGTAAACAGAGCCCATTAAGAACTCAGGAAGGGTGGGGAAGATGACGGCAGGCCAGAGCACAGCTGTGGAAAAGCCAGTGGCTCTCCGGGGTGGAATGTGGTGGAGCCTTCTTCAAACACAGCAAGGAAGGGAACACTCAAGAGACAGGAAGGACAGACCTCCTAAGCCTGAAGCCTGGGCCCAGACCACTGGGGGAGGCAGAGGGCTGTCTTTCTCAGAGGGCTGGAGTCTGTGGAAGGCCACAACTTGTCACAAGAGAAGCAGGCTCTGTTACAGATCGAGCATTCTCCAGAGCCAGTCCAAGCCCCTGTGGGAAATCTCGGTTACAATCTGGGCATCATAGGCCTGTGGCTGTGACCCTTCATAAGAAGCATCCAGGGACCACCTAAGAAAAGGACCCAGGGAGTTCTGGTCCTTGTGTGCTGACTAGAACTTTGTGAGACTTCTAGAAACTTGGCCACTTCCCTGTCTGTTACCCTTGTCTTGTATGTTTCCTTTTGTGATTAACAGGAAACCCTTATCACGAAAAGGGTTTCTGTTCTGAGTCTAGAGGGGTCAGAGAGTTCATCTTTTCTCTCAGCCAGTTCCATATTTCACTGCATACTGTCCCTATATAGATCCCTAAGTGGCAGCTTAAAGGGAAAGAAAAACAGGTTGACTCTTGGGCTCCATGGGAAGGAATAAAGAAATGCGTAGATGGTCCCTCTGGCTGCTTCACTTTGGATCCCTCAACGCTTGTCTTGGGAGGGCTGGCTCACTGTTCTATAGACATAGAAATCCCCCTTCCCTCCTGGGATGGAAAACTCCTACTCATCCCCCAAGATCCTATTTCAGTGTCACCATCTCTAGTTTTCCAGGGTGAATTGCTCTGAGCAACCAATTTCCAGCAGTGCACTGTCGAGGGTCATGCTGAAATCTCTCACTGGTCTCTCCCTGATTGTGCTGTGAGCTTGTCAAGGCAGGGGGAACGTTATATTTACTTTGTACATCCTGCGCCCAACTCAGCTCTCAGCAGATAGGATGAATATGTTTGACGAATGAATAAAGGAGAGAGGGCAGCAGAGGAGGGCAGAGCGTACCAGCGGGCGAGGCCGGGAAGGGCTCCAAGGAGAAAAGCTCTCCTCCAGTGCTCTCTGACAAAGTCCACAGACAGCTTGGCCGGGACCCACTTGTTACGCATCCTGTTATGCAACAGGCCTCGTGGTGCTTTTCCATTCTAGAAACTGTTCTTCCCCCAAGGGAGGCACAGTGTTCTGACTCCAACGGGTCTGTCAACTCTCTGAGAATCAGAGTTCACAGCCCAAATACAACATCTACCTACAGCAGGGATGGCAACAGCGATGAAAAGTCTCATGTCTCTGTTGTACAGATGAGGACGATGGTGTCACACAAGCAGAGCATGCGTGTCCTGGGGAAGGCTCAACTCCCAGGGCTCTGGGTGCTCATTCTCCCCCCTTATTGGCTCAACTTGACAAATGAACAGCCTGGGTTTTACCTAATTCTAGGCCTGACAGGTGTCTCTGAGGCCTAGATGCCCCCTGGATGCCCCTAGTCCTCTGCAGACTTGCCTGGCAGAAGTGTCTGAACTTTACTGAGAACAAGTGGTGTTGTTTCATAACTGCTATCGGCTGAGCTCTGTCACAGCGCCCAGGGCCCTTTTCACAGTGTGGGAGTGCGTTCTTAACAATAATCTAAATCACTTTTCTTGGTCATTTTTCTCTTTTTCAGGCCTCAGACTTAATTTTTTAAAAAACTGCTGGCTGGGCACAGTGGCTCATGCCTGTAATCCCAGCACTTTGGGAGGCCGAGGTGGGCGGATCACTTGGGTCCAGGAGTTCCAGACCAGCCTGGGCAACATAGGGAGAACTCATCTCTACAAAAATAATTTTAAAAATGAGCCAAGCGTGGCAGTGCATGCCTGTAGTCTCAGCTACTAGGGAGACTGAGGCGGAAGGATTGTCTGAGCCCAGGAGGCTGAGGTTGTGGTGAGCCGTGATCGTGCCACTGCAACTCTAGCCTGGGTGCCAGAGTGATACCTTGACTGAAAAAAAAAAAGCCCAACTGTGAGTCATCTCCCAGGCTAGAGTGCAGTGGCATGCTCACAGTCACTGCAGCCTTGACCTGCTGAGCTCAGGAGATCCTTCTACCTCAGCCTTCCAAGTAGCTAGAACTATAGACACGCACCACCATGCCTGGCTAATTTTTTTGTTTATTGTAGAGACAAGGTCTCATCCTGTTGCCCAGGTTGGTCTTGAACCCATGGACTCAGGCAGTCCTCTCACCTCAGCCTCCCAAAGTGCTGGGATTATAGGCATGAGCCACCGCGCCCGGCAGAGTCAACAGGTTTTAAGGGGTAGAACCATGACCTGAAACCGCCCTTGAAATCCTCGAAGTGGCTTCTCAGAGCCCAGTCTCACCTTTTTGAAGGACGTGAGAAGCTTGACACTCACATAGCCCAGCTTGTTCCTACGCACATGCTTCAGCAGGAAGGCGTCCTTCTCTAGGTTTTCATCTGAGAAGTAGAACTCGATCTGGTCCACCAGTTTCCTGATCAGCTCCTCATCCGGGGGCTTCCACTCCTGCTCCAGATCCTCACGCTCGTTCTCACCCCCACTTGTTGTGGCGCCGCTGAGGCCAGAAGGAGACACAGGTGTGATGGTTGAGCTATGTCGCCCCCCCAAACTTGCACGCCGAAGTCCTGACCCCCAAAACCACAGAATGTGGTCTTATTTGGAAAGAAGGTCTTTGTAGATGTGTTTAGTTGAGAGGAAGTCATCCTGAAGCAGGGTGGATCCCTAACCCACTACAACTGGAGCTGTTATCAAAAGGGGGAAATTGAGGCCGGTGGCAGTGGCTCATGCCTGTAATCCTAGCACTTTAGGAGGTCGAGGTGGGAGGATCACTTGAGCCCAGGAGTCTGGGACCAGCCTGGGCAACACAGCAAGACCTTGTCTCTACCAAAACAAAAAAAAATGTGCCAGTATGGTGGCATGTGCTGTAGTCCCAGCTACTTAGAAGGCAGAGACAGAAGGATTGCTTGAGTCCTGGAGTTTAGGACCAGCCTGGGCAACATAGCAAGACCTTGTCTTTATTTTTTTAAAAGGGGGAAAAAATTGCTGGGTGTAGTGGCACACACCTGTAGATTCAGCTACTCAGAAAGCTGAGGCAAAAGGATCGCTTAAGGCCAGGAGGTCAAGACCAGCCTGGGCAACATAGCGAGACCCTATCTTTACCAAAAAAAATCAGATTTTGGAACACTTTGGATTTTGAGTTTTTGGATTAGAGATATTCAACCTATACCACCATTAATTAGCTGAGTAAATCTAGATAAGGAACTCAGCCGCACACCTCAGATCCATGACCTGTAAAGTAAGGATCACGACAGCCCCATCCTGATAGGACTGTTGTGAAGATTTGATGAATGAATTCAGAAACTACCTAGAAGAGTGCCTGGCATGCCCTTAGAGCTCAACAAGCGACAGAGACATTCCTCTGCCCAGTCATGAGTAGAGCTGGGATTTATACTCAAATCCTTTGGCTCCGAAACCAGCACACATAATACCATCTGTAGTCTGTTGGGACCCTGTGGCGGAATCTGGAAAGGCAATCCCATCCCCGAGACCCTTCCAGATGAAACCCCTGACCCTCAGTAACACCACCTGGCTGTACCGCCTCCTCCCCCTCTCCCTGAGAACGCAAGGACAGGAGAACCAGCAGTGGCAATCCTGGGCAAAGCTTCTTTAGGAAGGCTAATCTCTCATAAGGGGATTATGAAAATCTCAAATCCATCAATATTTAGGGGATCTGTGATTAACCACATCAGAGCTGATGCCATTATTAGAAGTTGGCAGAAATCAGCAGGTAGGTAGTTATGGGAGATGGTTTAGCCTCTCGACGTCAGGGCCTGTTCCTGTGATAGCTGAAATCTGGAAAAGGTACGTGCGTATGTCCTTCAACAAAATTTTCACTGGCTCATTCTCAAAAAAAAGAGGCAATTGTGGAATACTCAAAATGATGGCAAAAATCAAATATTCTGGCAAGAGAGAAAAAAACTAAATCTGTTTAATAATTTTTCAAATTCAGAAATTATAATTAGTATAAAATATAAGGACTGGTTGGTTAAAAAATGAAGAGTTTTAGTCTGTTGTCTGTAGGCAGCTAGAATTTGTTTTTTTTTTTAAATCAGGATCTCACTCTGTTGCAGTGGCACTCTAGCCTGGCTCTCTGGCGATCCTCCTACCTCAACCTCCCAAGAAGCTGGGATTACAGGTGTGCGTCACCATGCCCAGCTAATTTTCTGATTTTTTTTGTAGAGATGAGGTCTTGCTATGCTGCCCAGGCTGGTCATGAACTTCCGGGCTCAAGCAATCCTTCTCCCTCGGCAGCTGTGCCTCTCAAAACACTGAGATTACAGGCGTTAACCACCACACCCGGCCTGGAAATGGTTTTTAAAATGTCTTATTGATGTCTCAAGGTAAATATGTAGTGAAGAAAAAAATAGTCTGGGAGACCTTTAAAAGTACATTTTTAAAAAAATCTTTAAAAATGGGGCGATAAAAGGCAGCTGTAGCAGACGTCAGGCTGACTCACTCAACACCTAACAGCAAACTCTTTCTCAGTGGCTTCCCTCACTGTAGAGGCTGTAACCACTCAGTCTTTCCCAGCCTCTCTTGCAGGCAGTAGCCATGAGCCACGTTATATCAATGTTACACACGTGAAAACCTCTCAGCCTCACCCCTCCCCTTGTGTCTATGTGAAGTGTGGATGTGATGTCTGCATCAGCAGTAGCCATTTCACTACCTAAGGAAAAGGCCAAGAGAATTAGCTTGGTTGCATTATTGACAACACTGACCCTGGCATTATTGAACCAACTTCTGTAACTGTCCACCTGCAGATTTCTGATGATTATAGGACAAGGAGCAAATCCTACCTGTTCCATTCACTTGTCAGTTGGGTTTTCTATGAGTTACAGCCAAAGACTCCAAGAGGGACAGACAAAGGCTCACTTGTCAGAGAAAGTCGGCATCCTACATCATAGTTAAAACGGTAGGAGACAGAAGAACTTCAGATGCACAGGGGATTCTGCACCCAGTGGACAAGGAGGTCAAGAAATAGCAGGGTGGGGTGGGGGTGTGGCCAGCGAAGGGTTTTGACAGACACAGGGGTATGGACAAAAGGGTCCACACAAAGGGCTAGTGAAAGGTGAAATGCCACAATGGAATTACTTAAAATAATCTTAACTAAAGAACAGTCATTTTGACACCGGCTAGTTCTGTCATATTTTCTCAGCAAAAGGACCTAGCTTGCCCTCTAATCATTAGCCCAGGACTGAACCGCTTTCTCAGAGGTAGCTATTGATCATTGTTTTACGACCCCCTCCCCAGCTTGTTTTGTATTGATTAGCTTTTCTATTCCAAGTATTTGCCCCCAGCCATAGAAACCAAGTTAACCTCCTCAGTTGTTTGTGACACAAACAGACCCCACCACCATGGCCACGGTCAAATGACTAACCCACCCATCTACTTGCTGTCCATCATCATGACACTGCTTGTGCTTACCTGCCCCTTCGTGATGACGTGAAATGGACCACCACCAATGACCTGCCTCCAGCAAAGGCAACATTTAAAAACCATTCAGCTTCAGACAGCAGGTATCAGGCTTTGGGTTGGGCTCTGGTTTGGTCACGCAGCTCTTTGAGTTATGGCCGAGCCATGTTTCCCTCAGCTTTGGCTCCCTCCCCTACCTTGGGGAGGTGAATCTTCTCTTTCTCTCTAATCTACTTTCTACATAGACTACATTTTCCAATCGAATTTCTGTGCAATTCTTTGCATCTTTTGCACAGACCCCAGTCTGACCTAACAGCTAGTATCTCAGAAGTGGCTGCACTGCCCGAAGGAACCCACAGAATGGGAAGTCTTATTCCCAGACAAGAGCAGTTGATGCTCTTATAAAGGTCAACTCATGAACAAACAGATTCATGGAAGAACCTCCGATCTAGAACCTCTCATTTCTCCAAGACCCACAGATTCTGCTCTGCTCCCTGCAGATGACTCTCTCCTAGCCTGGACGGAGAAGGTGAAGTTCACCCATCCAGGCTTGTGGAAACCTCCCCAGTGCAACACCCCCTGCCCACCCTCACAGCTTGTTCTGTGTCTCTGGACACCCCTCAAAGAACTCATCTGCCAGCTCCAGCTATTTCTTCTCCATCTTAATCCTCTTGCCCTGCTGTGGGATCTGACTGTTGCTCACCACAGCCTTGAGCTCCTGAGCTCAACTGATCCTCCTGCCTCAGCCTCCCTTGTAACTGGGACTACAGGCATGCGCCGGTATGCCTGGCCACACACCATTACACCCAGCTTATTTTTATTTTCACTTTTTTTTCGGTAGAGACAAGGTCTCACTTTGTTGTCCAGGCTAGTCTCAATCTCTTGGCCTCAAGCAATTCTCCCACCTAGGCCTTCCAAAAGCTCCTCCTGGGATTATATGCAGGAGCCACTGTGTTTAGCGAGTACTTTCTTCTTGAGACTATCCTGCTGGGCTAAAATTACATTTCCTTTCTTAAGGTCCTATTCATTGAATGAATTGGATTGGTCCTTTATATTTCTTTTTCTTTTCCTATTAGCTGTCTTTGTCTTTCATTAATATGCTAAGAGATTTCCTTGGCATTAGCTTTTCTGATTGTTTCCCCATTTGGCAGCCTTTCAAATCTCCTTTCTCCCCCATTTCTAAATGTAGGTATTCCCTGAGAGTTTGTTTCTGACTCTATTCCCTGGCAACCTGCACACTTCACCCCCTGTGAACTCATCCAATTCAAATCTACCTCTCTCCTTTCCTCTCCTGAGCTTCAGTCCTCAATTCCTAACTAACCGCCTACCAGTCATGTCCTCTAGAATAATCTGATATTGCATCCAACGCAATCTGTCCACAGTTTAACTGAGCATCTTCCGTAGAACTTGACCTCAGGCAGGACTGCAACCTGGGCCTGCCAGCAGGCATTCCATCTGCCAGCTGACCTTCCTTCCGCCCAGTCTCATGGGAGATGATGCCTAATGGATGCCAGTGAGCAGACGGGCAGGTAGCTAGAGTTTTCAGAGCAGGTGGGCAGCACTGCGGAGGACGCAAGCCCCGGGTGCGCATGCAGAGGTGAGCTCCTTGCCCTGAGGACTCCACCCTCTGCAAGGGTGCTGTCAGCAGCAGCTGCACAGGTCCAAAGGGGAATCCTGGGGCAACTGGAAAGCCTGTGGTGTCTGCGGCCAGATACTCGACTTACTCACTCTTCCGGGCACTTAAGCTCGAAGCCCTGGATGCATCCTCAGCCCTCTCTTCTGTCCCTACATCTTGTCAGTTATCAAGTGTTGATTTCAACCAGCAGTGACTCCCATCTGTTTGCTTTTCCATTCCAACCATCACTTCTCCCTTGGACGCTAATAATAGCTCATCAAAAAGTGATTCTAAAAAATGAAAGAATTACATATGCATAGCAAAAATGAAAATAAAATAGTAGGAAACATGTAAAGAAAGGAACAGTTCCACCCTCTACCCTTCTCAGAGGCAACCGTTTAGCTGGTCAAGCATTCAGCTGTCAGGAGTGTTGTCTCCTACAGCTTGACTTCTCACTTGCCAATTTTAGGAATTCTCTCTTCATGTCCTATAACATAAAATGAGGATTTGGGGTTTCTTATGTCCCAAAGCCCCTTCTTCCAATTTTTAAAATTTTCTTTTATTTTTGGTTCTTTTTACTAGATGTCTACTTGTGTTTTTAAGTAGTACTCTTAAAATGGCTTCTTATCCCATCAACATTAAACAATATTTTTCAATTTCTCCACTATAGATGATGTGCATATTACTGCTCCACCTTTTCCTCCCCCTTCTATTTCCAACCTTCTAAATTTTATCAGGTGTACTTTTATTTCTCTTCACCACAGTTCATAACCTTTCATTCTGTTCTGTAATTGATATGCCATGTTTTATCTATAGATGCTGAAAATTGAAAGTGAATTGGTTGTATTTCATTATTATGACTATGTAAACATTGTTTCCTGCAGGGCTAAGTCACTTGCTGAGATTATATTTCTTCTCTTAAAAGCCCTATTTGTTCACTGACCTCACCCTGGATGGATCCTCTGTGTTTTTCCTTTTTTCTTTTTCCTATTATCTGTCTTTGTCTTTAACATACGTGTTAAGAGATTTCCTTGACAATATTTTCCAACTTTTCCTACTGAATTTTTAAATTTCAGTAGTTATTTATTTAGTTTCTAAGGACTCTTCTAGGTCCTCAAATTGTTCCTTTCTAAGAGTTTCTTGTTCTTGTTTAATGGATGCAACATCTTCTTTTTTTTTTTTTTTTTTTGAGTTGGAGTCTCACTTGAGTGCAGAGTGAGACTGGGCATACTCCAACTGAGTGTACCCAGGCTGAAGTGCTGTGGCACACTCATGGCCACCCAGCATCGACCTGCTGGGCTCCGGCAATCCTTCTGCCTCAGCCTTCCAAGTAGCCGGAACTATAGGCACACACTGCCATGTCCAGCTAATTTTTTATTTATTGTAGAAATGAGGTCTCACCAAATTGCCCAGGCTGGTCTTGAACCCGCGGACTCAGGCAATCCACTCACCTCAACCTCCCAAAATACTGGGATTACAGACTGAGCCACTGAGCCCAGCCTATGCAACATCTTAAATTATCTTTCAGCGTACCCAATGGCAGAAGCCTCTAAACTTTTTGGCATCAGGGACCGGTGTCGTGGAAGACAATCTTTTCTGCAGACTGGGATGGGAGGTGGGGACCATCAGGCATTAGATTCTCATAAGGAGCATACAACCTAGATCCTTTGCATGTGCAGTTCACAATAGGGGGTCACGCTCCTATGAGAATCTAAAGCCACCACAGATCTGACAGAAAATGGAGCTCCACTCACCCATCACTCACCTCCTGCTATGTGGCCTGGTTCCTAACAGGCCATGAACTGGTACTGGCCCATGGCCTGGGAACTGGGGACCCTTGCTCAATGGAATATACAAGTACTTTTTTTAGTCTTTTGTTTCTAGCATCATCACCTTCGTATCCTCAGGACCAGTTAGTTCTTCCATTTAACCTTCATGTCACTGATTTTCTTCATGTGACTAATACACATTTTTTTATTTATTAAAAGTTTTGGTTTTTTTTTTTTTAGTTGGAGTCTCACTCTGTTGCCCAGACTGGAGTGCAGTGGCTGCTCCCGGCCACCGCAACCTCAACCTGCTGGACTCCGGCAATCCTTCCACCTCAGCCTTCCAAGTAGCTGGAACTACAGGCATGCGTTTTTAGGGCAACCACCTCAGGTTCCCTCCTGCTCTGGAAGTTTTTCTGTCCTCTCAATAAATCAATAAATCCTGCTTTCTAAAAAAAAAAGTTTTTAAATAAATGTATTTTAAAATAGTCTTAGATTTACAGAAAAGTGATGAAAATAGTAAGGAGAGTTCCCATATATACTCCAGGCTTACTCTATAATTAATATCTTACATTAGTAGGATATATTTGTCATACCTAATCAAATCATGCTTACATGATATTATTAGTAGAAGTTTATATTTTATCCAGATTTCCTTAGTGTTTACTGATGTCCTTTTTCTGCCCCACGATCCCACCCAGAATACCAAATTACATATAGCTGTCCTATCTTCTTAGGCTCCTCTTGGCTGTGACAGTTTCTTGTACATTTCTTGTTTTTATGACCCTGATAGTGTTGAGAAGTACTGGTTAGGTATTTTGTAGACTGCCCCTCAACTGAGGTCTGTCAGATGTTTTTGTCATAATTAGATTGGGGTGATGGCTGTTGAGAGGAGGAGCACATCACATCAGGGTACACACAATCAGCACATATTCTCACTGGGGATGCTGACCTTGATCACCTGTCCATTTGTCAGATTTTTCTCCTGTAAAGTTATTCTTTCATCCCCCACTTCCATCCTGTGCCCTTTGGAAGTTACTATGAAGAGCCCCGCCTAGGGAGTGGGAAGTTCAGTTCATTCTGAAGCCTGCGGGTCCAGGTTGCTTTTGCTTGGTGGGGTGTGCGCAGCTGTATACCCTGTTGGTCTCCTTCCGGGTGGCTCTGTGCACATGGGTGAGTGTGTGCCAGGTGTGCTTCACTTCAGTAGGGGGTGCTCTTAGGTGGGGAGACTCTACCCTATGGCGACCAGCTCTGCCTTCTCATCCCCAGGTCTCAACATGAGCTCACTCCATTCCTTAAAAGAAAAAGATCTTGCTCCCCCCACCCCCTCCTTAGAGGTCAGCGGTATGTTGCCTGCTACTACTATTCACTGGCAGGCAGAGAGGCTAGGACATCGTTCTAAAGGAAGGATTTAAATTCTCTCTTGGATATTTGTAGCCCTTTGTACTCCTGTATCTTGGCGTACTTCCCAACCAGAACCTTTCTAGGCTTCTGTCTTCCCACCTCCTGCCACCCCGTGCTGTATATTTCGGGCTACAGCCTCCTCTGCTCTGTGCCACAGGACATGTTTTGAAGAACAGCTATCGTATGTCACTGCTCTACTTTAATAATGGTAATAATAATAAAAAGGTTTTCTATTTCCTATTCGATAATATTCAGTCTTGAGCTCCTTATTAAGATTCCTTTAGAATCATCTGGAACCAGCTACCAAACTCACTTCCATCTATTTCCTTCCGGATCCTTTGCTTCAAGCAAATGGAAAGTTGCTCTTCCCTGCAAGAGTCATAAGCTTTCTGCACTCTGTGTGTTTGGACATGCAGTTTCTGCCTTTTTGAATGCCTTGCCTCTCTCTCTCAGGTCCAGATCCCAGCCACACGTCAAAGTCTACCTCAAATGCAACTCTCCCAGGAAGAAAATCATTTCTACTTCTCCTAACATGTGTCTATATATATATATAGCATAGTTACTTGTGTGCATATTTTATCAGCCCCTGAACCCTAAATTGGGGGCAGGATGCACATTGGTGTGCTATCCCAGAGCCTTGTACATAGTGAGAATTTAAAAATATTACCAATATAAAGCAAATCAGACTGGGCATGGTGGCTCACATTTGTAATCCCAGTACTCTGAGAGGCTGAGGTGGGAGAACTGCTAGAGCCCAGAAATTTCAGACCAGCCTGGGCAACATAGCGAGACCTTGTTTCTATAAAAAAAATCAAAGAAAAAAATTAGCCAGGCGTGATGGTGTGTGCCTGTAATCCCAGCTACTTGGGAGGCTGAGGTGGAAGGATCATCTGAGCCCAGGAGGTCGAGGTTGCAGGGAGCCATGTTCATGCCACTGCACTCCAGCCTGGGCAACAGAATGAGACCACAATGCAAATAAAAGAATAAAGTATCACTGTAAAGCCAAATTAGACCTATCAGGATCCTTTGAGGGAGGAAGTATGATTACTGAAAGGCTCTTTGTGGCCTTTCAAGAAGACCTAAAAAAATATAAAAAGACCTGAAAAAGTTTTACACCTAAGGTTTGTTTGTTTGTTTGTTTTTAAAAAGAAAATGTTCTAAGTTGGTGATAAGGTATTTTGTTACAGCTATACTTGTTGGCTCAGCCTGTAATCCCAGCACTTTGGGAGGCTGAGGTGAGTGGATTGCCTGAGCCCGCAGGTTCGAGATCGGCCTGGGCAACTTGGCAAGACCTCATCTCTACAATAAATAAAAAAAATTAGCTGGGAACGGTAGCACGTGCCTATAGTTCCGGCTACTTGGAAGGCTGAGGCGGAAGGATCACCAGAGCCCAGCAGGTCAACACTGGGTTGACTGTGAGTGTGCCACTGCACTCCAGCCTGGGTGACAGAGTGAGACTTGAAATCAAAAAAAAAAAAAAAAAAAAAAAAGGAAAAATTGGGTTCCCCAAATCAGTGCCGAGAAATGTATATTTGTAAGTGATTTGGAGAAACAAAAATGATTTGCAGGATACAGCCTCCAAGGCTGCTTTTCTCCTAAAATATCAAGCTAATCTGGACACATTAATTGGGCAGTTAATTAAATGATTTCTTTTAAGATGAAAATATCCAGACTAAAATGGTAGAGTAATGAGAACCTCACTGTGACTTTTGACCCAGGAAAGGCTTTTTGGACTCATTATCTACCACTGTAGATTGTCTAGCATAGTGTTTTGGCTACTAAGACCAGGAGAAAGGCATACATCAACAAGGAGTGTACTGAACGCAAAGGAGAAATATCATTTGTGCAAAACACTAGGATCTAGTTCCATCTGTGTGAAGTTTCTTTTGACTCACCTCTAGAGCAAGATAATGAATCTGAAATGGTTTTAAAAGGGCAACCAAGTTGATAATGCAATATAAAGACATGAGATAAAGGTTCTTCACTGAGACAGCTTGAAAACATATATGGTATGATCCCAACTTTGGAAAAGACCACAGGATCATTCACCATGATCAAGTGAGATTTATCCTTGGGATGCAAGCATGGCTCAACATTTGCAAATCAATACATGTGATACAGCACATTAATAGAATGAAGGACAAAGAGCCCATAAATTACTTGTTAACTGAAAAGGGAAAGACACATATGTACAATGGAGGAATCTCCTTAACTAAATGGTCAAATTTAGCAGCACTAAAAGTGGGATGCTTCTTGAGATAATGCAACATACAATTCGAAGCATGGCTAATTAAGTCTTCTTGTCAAAATGTTCAAACTGAATCGAATCACATCAAGCCCTTAGCCCTAATTTCCAATTTATAAGAAGTACATCATTTCTGTAAGGTCAAATCACACCTATCAGGACCCTTTGAGGAAGAAAGTATGGCCTCTCAGGAAGACCTGAAAACATTTTACACCTAAGGCTTCTTTTTAAAAAATAAAACATTATAAATTGATGATGGGGTATTTTGTTACAGCTATAAAACTGCAGAAATGGAAACAAAAGGTAGAAAGAGAATTTAGAACAGATAATTGGGTAGAAAGGAGCAAGTTAAACAAGACTATGAGAACATGCCAGATCAAGCCAAAATGTGATGTTTAACAAGAGGTCTGGCCCCTTATGTCCACAACAGCAAAGCATTAGGGGAAAAAATGGTGGAAATGTTCTAGATGAAAAGATTCTAGGCTAGGCATGGTGGCTCATGCCTGTAATCCCAGTGTTTTGAGAGGCCAAGGCGGAAAGATTGCTTGAGGTCAGGAGTTCAAGACCGGCCTGGGCAACATAGCGAGATCTGTCTCTACCAGAAAATAAAAAATTAGCCAGGTATAATGGCGCACACCTATAGTCCCAGTTATTTGGGAGGCCAAGGTAGGAGGATCACTTGAGCCTGGGAGTTTGAGGTTATAGTGAGCTGTGATGGCACTGCTATACCCTAACCTGGGCGACAGAAACAGTCCTTGTCCCCCAAAAAAATAAAAATAAAAAATAAAAGATTCTAGAGAAACATATAGGCAGATGCATCAACCTGAATCGTATTCTGATTTGACCAGAAAAAAGAAACCGCTAGAAAGGACAACTGTGGACCAACAGAGGGAAACTTGAATGTAGAATTTGGCTACTCAATTATTTTAAGGATTATAGTTGGGAATTATTGTTGATGTTCTTAGTAGCAATAAGAATGCTAAGATTTTTACAGGGAATGTCATTATTAAGAGTTACAAAATGAAGTGTTTAATGTAGAAGTTTTGGGTACAGAGTTGGGCAAGGTGGCTCATGCCTATAATCCCAGCACTTCGGGAGGCAGAGGTGAGAGGATTGCCTAAGTCCATGGGTTCAAGACCAGCCGGGGCAATTTGGAGAAACCTCGTCTCTACAATTAAAAAAAAAAAAAAAGCCAGGCATGGTGGCATACACCTGTAGTTCCAGCTACTTGGAAAGCTGAGGCAGAAGAATCACCTGAGCCCAGCAGGTCGAGGCTGTAGTCACTGTGACCATGCCACTGCACTTCAGCTTGGGAGACAGAGTGAGACTCCGACTCAAAAAAAAAGAAGTCTTGGGTACAACAAACTTTCAGATGGTTCGGGAGAACCACATGATTAGATACCCATCAAACACATATGGCAAACAATATATTAACAACTGTGAAATCCAGATAGTGGCTAGCTGAACGCTCACAGTACTATTTTTTCACATGTTCTTTATGCTTGAAAATTTTTATGTCCAAGAGACAAGAATAAAAGAAAAGACACCTTTTCAGTGAGTGAGATGCAGGGAGATCAATGACCATTCGGCACTTGGAAAGGTTTTTCCTTATTTTTCATTTATTCCGGGGGTAGGCCGGGCATTGGGCTAGGTATGGAGATACAGAGAGGACTAAGACAAAACCGCTGTCTTCAAGGAGCCCACTGTCCAGTGGAGGAGAAACACAAATATTTTTTTCTTAAGTTGGGTCTCACTCTGTTGCTCAGGTTGGAGTGCAGTACCATGATCACAGCTCACCACAGCCTCAACCTGCTGGACTCAGGCAAGCAGGTTACCTTAGTCTCCTGAGTAGCTGGGACTACAGGCATGCACCACCACACCTGGCCAATTTTTAAATTTTTTGTAGAGATGAGGTCTCATTCTGTTGCCCAGGCTGATCTCAAATGCCTGGGCTCAAGCAATCCACCTGCCTCAGTCTCCCAAAGTGCTGGGATTACAGGCATGAGCCACCGCACCAGGCCAAAACACAAATATTTCAGCACACCAGAGTGAGTGCAATGAGAGATACACACTCATTCAACAAATATTTATAGCGCACCTACAACATGCTGGGTGCTATGCTAGGTGCTTAAGATGCAAGGAGGAAGGAAACATGATCCCTGAATTTACAGAACTGATATTCCTGGGAAGAAAACAGAACTACTGAACCACGACTGTGCCAAGTGCTAGGCATGAAACATACAAGGAAACATCGGCTCTGGGAGGGTGGGGGGAGGGTGGGAAGAGGCAGCTAAGTTTTAAAGGCTGACTAGAAACTTCTGCTACCATATCCACTGTTTCTACTGCCAGATCCATAATCATTGCACAAGCTTCTTCCACCAAAACTGCCATGGGTCCATAATTTTGGTTCTAAAAACAGCAGAAAAGGGCTACAGCTCTTAGCAGGAGAGAGTACAACGTTGTCAGGAAAACTGCAGGTTACTTTGAGACAGTCATCCCAAATGTGTTAGAGGAACTGTAAAAATCTGCCACAGAAAGGATGACGCTCCATAGTCAAAAAAGTTATTGCAGCTTAAATAGGAAACCCTTCTTGTTCAGGACTGTCATAGCCACAGTTTGCAAAAAGTGCCTCTATTGATTAATGCAATGTAGTATTAATTAGATGCACACTCCTGAGGTCTTTTATCTGTTGTAGTTTTGTTTTTTTCTTTTTCTTTTCATTCCATCAGTTATATTGCCCTGTGAATTGTAGTAGTGGTACCAGGAATAAAAAAATTAAGGAATTAATAAATAAATAAAAGATAAAGGATGACTAGAAATCAATCAGAGGGCCTGAAGGTGGGAGTGCAGAGACACAAAACAGTCCTCTGGGCTTGGGGAGCTAGACAGTGGTACTACAAAGGCATACACTGTTAAGACAGGCAGGGACTAAGTAGTGGGCTGGGGACCTGATGTTCATGGGTGCCCCAGCTTCAAGAGCAGATGTAGGCATCTGGGCTTTCTCCTGCAGGCTCTAAGAGCCGAGAACATTCATGGAGGGTTGGCGGCTGCCAGGCTGGACCTGCATGGGGGACAGTGAGGCTCCTGTTCTTGGCTGTATCTTCCTGAGCTCTGGACGTCTGCCTGCTGGGCTCTGTCGGCTCCACTACTCAGAAGAGCCCAGGGACTTTCTGGGGTCAACTCTATGCCAATCGGCAGCAGGAAGGGTCTCAGACAGAACAGTCCCCGAGACTCAGGCCACTGGAGCTGGGAGAGAAGACAGGAGGCTCTGGAGGGGCAGTATGGAGGTATAGACAGGAGACTCACCTGCACTGAGGATCAGAGTCTCCTAGACCTCCACAGGGGACCTTTCCAGGCCCACAGGATACACAGGGTTTTCATCCTGGCTAAGGATACAATCTCAACAATTTAGCCCCCAGCATAGGGACAGCTTTTTGCCGCAGTCACAAGCAAATAAGTCAGAAGGATACGCCACTCAAGGCTGTTTGGCATGACCGCTGACATTATCTGACTGAGTGACAGCCTTCTTGAGACTGGGAGCTGTCAGCAGCTCTGGGTTCATCCTCTCTCCACCCTCAGCGCTTGGCACGGAGCTGAACGCATCAGGCCTGTTAGCATCTAAGATGCTGCTAGCTCTGCTGGGTCACAGGCTGTGGTCCAGCTTCTCTGCCCTCAGCTGTTGGGCTGCATTTTTCTCTTCCAGTAACTGTCTGTACTGGTCTGCCCTGAATCTCTGGGCCCTTAGTCTGGTCCTTCCAACTGGGGATGGGTAGGCCAGGAGTGAAAATGGCTCTGGCCCCAGCACCCTTACCCCCTTGAGCTTAGTATTCTCCTGGTGTAGTGGGTACGAGTCTACGGCAGCCACAGAGTCATCCTGAAGAGCCTTAACAGCTCCAAACGTGTGACAGAGTCCCAGAAAAAAGAGGGCTCTTCATCAGTTGGCATTGCCCAGAATTTGCGGGTCCTGTCATTCCCCTACTCTCATGTCTACGGACACTCTGTACTGTATCTTACAAACAAAACCCCAGTCCTGGAGGGCCAGTGCACAAGTGGACACAGCCTAAGGGGACTGGCTGGGGAGGAAGCTCAGGACCCAGAGGCCAAGGTTACACAGGTGCCAGAACGCCCCCAGACCTGGGCACCCACCCTCAAGACAGCACGATGATGAAGCAAGCATAGCAGTCAGATAGGGAGGCTCCTGAGAATGGGAATTGGGGGTGGGGGGGTGGAAAGCGGCAAGCCCCTGCCCCTCTCAAAGCACAGTGAAATCACTCCTTCTGGATCCCCCATCAGCAAGTGTCAGCTGTGCCGGGCCTGCTCCCTTGCGGAGGCTGAGATGAGCCTGGAGAGAGACAGGCCAGGGTGGCAGTGAAGGCCAGTGAGACCACCCGCACAGGGAGGTGGCCTGGCCTCAGAGGAGAAGGCCGGGCTGGGATAGGCTTCTGGAAAGGGGAGGCTTTATGGGAGCTCACAGAGGGAACATTTGGGGGGGGTGAGAGGATGGCCCCAGAAAGTCTTCCTCCTGGATCTCAGACGCCCCTTTCCCCTAGCCCCCCACACCCTGTCCAGGGCACTCAGAGCCCAGCGGCGAGCCCCGGGAGCCCTGAAGCTACGGACCTGGCACTGATCGTCTGACTCAGTGGACCCGCCCGGAGCCGCGTCCCCCGGAGCGGGGCTGCACCGACCCCTGGGCCCGC